ATTTCAGTCTCCCTCTATCTTTCTCTTTGTCTCACTTCCCCCTTTTTTCGATAGAATCTTCCTGTTATAAAAACAGAAATAGGAATGTGAATCTTTTTTTTAAAAGCATTTTATGGACCACAAATTAAAAACAAGTTTCGTTGTAAATATTTATTTTATCTCAGCTGAGTCCACTCACTAAATTAATCTTAGTTTATGGTGCATGTAGTTTACACATACAATAAAAATCCTGTTTTACAAAGCACATGTTCATATAAATTTTCATAAACAGTGATTATTTAATGCTATTTCTTACTTTCAGAAATGGTTGAGCTTATCAGGTATTTAAAGGCTGTGAGCTGTGGCTCGCTGACCTGACGTGACACGGACTGCCATCATCACAAATCTTTGTGTCTGTCACTCCTCAGACCATCTCTGATAATCCATCCATCACACATAACTTCACAAGAGCACTCAGTTCCACTCAATAAGCTCCCGTCCGACCCTTATAGACTTTAATAATCCAGAGAGAGCTGGTCCTCTTATCAGAGGACGTGACTATTCAGACCAAGAACTGACCTTCCCGCCTGACCTAGATGCTTCATGTGCATGCATGTGCACTCTGTGATTATTTTGCGCATACAGAAAGCCCATCATTCTGTGTGTTTGTGCACATGTGGGACTGTGGTATGAGCCAGAGAGGAAGGCAGGGGAGCTGATGGAGAGATCAGACAGTCTTCTCACTGCACAGCATCTGCTTAGAAAATATCACTTCCTCTCACTGTTTATCCATCTCTTTTCTTTGCTGAGAGAAATTTACCTCCACCTCACGTGCCAACTTTAGCATCATCTTTCTCAGTCAGAAATGACCCCGGCCTGCAAAGGAGAAGAATTTGCATTTAGCTTACTGCAAGCGCACGCGAGCATGTGTGTTCTCTCATAGCACTTATTAAAGCTCTTTCTCTAATGTGTGCAAACCCAGCTTTTTCTTTCTGTTGCATATATAATAGCTGATGGTGGTATCATCAGAGACAGACCAGCTTGACTAAATGGGAGCAGCAAATTGACTGTAGTATTAGGAGTGAGGGGCCTCTATCAGGAAATCTAATAGGATCCCATTAAAGAAAGCTTGCAGATGAATATGATTAGGTTTTCTTTCCTTCTAATGGGAACATCTTCTGAAGAGGGGAGGAGATGAAATGTTGTGCAGTGATAGGGCCTTTGTACCACTGATAGGATTGTTATTGCCTAATTTGGGTAGAAAGGCCATTAAAGTTCTTGGAAGGGACGATAAATGTTCTCTGTAAGTATACTCTCAGTTATGGCTGTGGACCATCGCTGTGTGTGGGCAGTGCTTTACTTTGTAGATGAAAAAGCATCCCTTAACTTAAATGCCTTCATATCAGGCTTGTTTTGCCGAAATCTGTGACTAATGAGTATGAGGTTTCATCTTGAATTTCATCTCCCTCGCCGAAATAAACCGAATGGCTTTTCTGTGTGTGTGTGTTTATGGTTAATGTGCGCATATGTATTGCCGCTGTGCTTTTCTTACTCGGACCAACAGACTGCGACAGAAGTGTTTCATTAGATTATAAAATGACTATCGTAAGCACAACATTTTAAGCAGATTATTGTTCATTGTAGAAAAGCCTCCTGTGCACTCTTTGCAAGTCCTCAAATAACAACCAGTGCCTTTGTGTGTGATCTCTCAAAGAGGACTGCTGTAACGAGAGTTATTTGGCTATATTTTGTTGGCTAGATTATCTGTCTTGGGAGTGCTTTAAAGGTATTGACAGGGTTCTTCTCTTTACTGCATCTCTACACAGATTGTCTTATTTTAGTAAGCTGATGTGTGAAAACATGTGTGTATGTATATGACTAATAGCAGTAACAAGTTGACTGACTAGGGTCTATAGGGTCCCATAACACCTCAACTGCATCAGCACCATGTGCTGATAGTATCTATGTAAATGTATCTGCTAATAGTAATCGAAGTGAAAATAGACTTTCCAGAAAATGATTCAAATACACTGTGTGTATTTATCTGTAGTAGAAGCAGTGCCCTTACAACAGTGTAAAAGGACTCCACTTAATACTCCAAGTAATGATTAGATGTAACATAACAAGTAGTACATTAACTGGCCACTTTATTTGTTAAGCATTCCTGGGTATGGCCTCATGCTTTTAAAACGGCATTAATCCTTCATGGCATATTATCAACGATGACTCCTCGTAAAACAGATGTTGGAGATTTGTTAGCTGCACATCCATTATGTGAATCTTCTGTTCCTCCACATCCCAAAGGTGCTCTATTGGACTGAGATGTTCTCAATGTGGAGGTACTGTAATTTGAGTACTGTAAACTGTAAAACCATGAGCTTTGTAACCTGCGAGTTATCCTCCTGGAAGCATCCATCAGAAGATACACTGTGGTCATAAAGGTTGGACAATTCTCGGGAAGGCTGTTATATCTGAATGATGCTCAGTAAGTACTAAGGAGCCCAAAGTGTGCCAAGAAACTATCCTTCATACCATTACACCAGCAGTCTGAACCACTGATACTAGGCAGGTTGAATCTAAACTTTCATGTAGTTTACACAAAATTTTAACCCTAACATCTAAATGACACAGCAGCAAAAAAGACTGGATGTGGTGTTCTCGTTCAAGATTTGATATGTTCTGCATTCAGAGATGCTCTTCTGTGTGACTTAGTTAGAACAAGTGATTGTGGCCTTTCTATCCCTGCCATGCAGGAACGAGCTGAGGTTTGATTTCCCAATGGGCAGGTAAGCTTTTGATACTTAGATGTTCATTGGGAGTGACCAGGATGGACAGGACTGGAAATAACACAGCTCAGGTTGAGTTTGAAGACAAAGTACGAGAGCCAAGGAAGATTTGAAAATGGACATGGTTTAGACAAGGCCAAAGAAGCGATAGTGCTTATACTGGTCAAAGGATGTTGGATATGGAGCTTACAGGTAGGAGGAAAAGAGAAAGGCCACAGAGGAGATTCATGGATGTAGTGAAGGACTTACAGAGGGTTGGTGTGACAGAGGAGGATGCTAGGGATTGGGTAAGATGGAGTCAGATGACTCGCTGTGGAAACAGCCACAAGAAACAAGAAGAAGAGCAGTTGCCTTCCTATCAGCTCAAAGCAGTCTGGCTATTTTCCTCAGGCATCAACAAGGTATTTTTGCCCAGAGAACTGCTGCTCAGTGGATATTTTGTCTTTTTGGACTATACTCTGTAAACCCCAGCGATGGAGGTGCAGGAAAATCCCAGCAAATCTGCAGTTTCTGTAATACTCAGACCAACAGCCATGACTAGTTCAAAGTCACCTAAAATCGCCCTTCTTCCCTATCTTCTGATCCTGGCTTTGATCTGAAGTCAGAGCAGGTTGTCTGGACCACATCTACACGCCTGAATCCATTGAGCTGCTTCCACGTAATTGGTTGATTAGAAATTGACATTA